AAATTTTCAGAATACTAATCCGTCTAAGGAACATACCTATCATCCAGTTTATCATGGTCCAATTTCGCCAAAGCACGTTCGACTTCCTCACTAACCTGTTGATCACTGAATTAGAAAAATACATGGTAGATAATGAAATTATTGCTTATTTTAACTCACAAGTTCACCTTCTTCGGTTGAATTTCCACACTCTCAACCATCCACAACCCAACTCTTCCATCCTATGGGAACTTTCTTCTCTCATATTCAAATGGATGTTGAAAGATTATGGGACGATAGGGCCATTTTAATAACCTCAAGCATTGACTTTTAACAATATAATGAAACAATGCACCAGAGAAGGAACAAGCTTCAAAATAACTTCAAAGCACACATAATATGTATAAAAGAAACAGAAATCAAAGAAGCCATATATGAAGCCAAGCATAGGAGTATCATTTTCTCTTCTTTTTAATCTTAAAAACAACACTTCATCAAAAGAATGTAACATGTAGTTAAAATAGATTATATTGGACCATACCATACTATTATAATTCTCATCATCATCTGCAAAATTAACAATATCTTCTAACTCCATTTCAAATATGCATTTTGCATCCGGATGCATGTTGTCATCCAATCCAATTTCCACCTACATCCAAGACAAATAAAATTAACTTAATGATCAAAGGTCCCAACATTGTTTTGACTGAAATCTGACAAGGGCTTAACAAACTTACATCCAACTCTATCAATTTATCCACAAGTGCAGATAGCATGGTATTTGGCATGTCATAACATGAAATAAAAGACAATAAATTCATTAAATTGAGTAACTAATACAACAAGAATTTGCAACAACCATTTCACTGAAAATGCAATCTGAACTCACATGCTCTGTCGCATCGTAACGTTTCAGTATATTCTGGACAACTATTGCTGATAATCGCATGGGAGCAAGGGGCACCAAATCAGCTATTTGTTTCAGAGCATCATGCACCCGAGACAAAACCTTATTCTTTCTATCAGCTGAACAAAACATCTCGTCAGATCAACCATATCAAAAAATTATCTTGCCACCAAAAATTGATTCACTGTTTCAAGTTTCAATCGCTAAATAGCACAACTTACAGGAAAAATAAGAGCTCCGCGATGGACAAAGTCTATGTAGGACACTACTCCAGCAAGCGCTTTCAAGTTTAAAGTTTAAAGTTTTTATATATGAACATTAATTAAAGAACCTACCACAAGTTGAGCAACTTCATGAGAATTAAGATTCCTTTTTGGTTACAAACACCCAACAAGCTCTTCATAGTTCTCTCTACCATCCTAAACCACAAAAATCAGGGAATAAAATAAAATTAATAATAAAGCTTAATTTTTATTTTTTTTTAACTAATTATCAAATTGAACAAAAATATTATGGTTAAAAATCTCTAAGAATGACTACCGAGACTTCAAGAAGAGCATCTCTAACGTGATATGTTAACTGCAAATCATTGATTTCAGTATCCTTCTTCATTGTACAAAATTCTTCGTTTGAATTTGGAAGCAACTGTCCCATGCTCCCAAAAACAAAGAAAACGCAGAGACGGAAAACTAACAAAATACGACTGGGAGAATCGAAATGTGGCTAGGGTTTTAGATCGGTAGAGTACCGAAGCCGTAAAAACCGGATCTAATGGTCTAAAACCGGCAAACTACGGAACCGGTGGCGGGTTTTGTAAACCGGTTGGGGTTTTGTCATGTGAAAAAGAAAAGGAAATTAGAGAAGGATGAAGATGCAGTAGATGCATCAGCAGGTGCGGCGCTTAGGAAACAAAGGGAGGAGATGATTGTTGTTGATACGTTAGGATTTTGAGAGAGGAGAAAGAGGGTACAAAAGGGAAAGAAGGTGAGAGAAAGAGGGAAGAAGAGGGTATGAGAAGAGAGAGAAGCTGAAAGTAAGAGGGAAGACAAAAGTGAGAGGGAAATGGTAAGAGTTTTTTGAAAAACTTCTGCCACTTGGAAAAATAGGTTCTTTTGATTGGGTGATGAATTATTATTTAGTAAATTACATAAAAGGGTTTTAAGTAGTGTGAATGAAAATTTAGTGAAAGGGTATAAATGGTAGATTGGTGGCAATGAATAGTAATGGGTAGGTAGTTGAAACATCCATATACCTATCACTTTAAGATTTTGGGTGAATAAGTGATGTCCCTTCACTTGTTGGGGTGAGTCTTTAACTTTTAGGTGAGTGTTTTGACCCAATGTGTGTGCTTCCCCCTCATATTGACCCATCAGTCATATTAGAGTCTGGTTCGAGTAAGGGACAGACTTCTTATGTCGAAAGTCTTCCTAACATGGTGGTTAGACAGTGTTAGGAAGACATGTGGTACAAACATGTGGATGAAAGAACTTCCGCTTGAGGGGGATCATATTGTATGAACTCACAATTAAGAAGGAGATTGTTGAGAAACAAGTGTGAGTTTTGTTGAGAAACAAGTACGAGTTCTAAGTCCCACATTGCTTATAAAAGTGGAGGTTAGACACTTTATAAATAAGTGAACCCATATACCTATCACCTTAAGGTGTTGGGTAAATATATGGTATCTCTCTCACTTGCTTGGGTGAGTCTTTGACCTTTAGGTGAGTATTTTGACCCAATGTGTATGTTTCCCCCTCATGATGACTCATCATCAACAGTCCTTCAAACAAAACTATTGTTATGAAGCACTATGTCCACTTGACATGGCTCAAGCTTTAGCTAAAGAGGCAGCCATATCCAATATCATATGCTCCTTAAAATCTTGGGAACAATGGGGTCAACTTTGAAGGCTTCCATCAATGTTATTAGATTGTGACATAAACGACAATTAACCGTGATATTTTCCTTCAACAGTGTTTACATAGCTAGTTGTTGTTCAGCTATTTGCGATCCATAACAATTAACCACAATCCGTGATATTTTCCTTCAACAGTGTTTACATAGCTAGTTGTTGTTCAGCTATTTGCGATCCATAACAATTAACCACAATCCTTTGTTGTACTGTGAATCTCTCTACAGAAAGGGTTTGCATATCTAGTAGCTAGTTTGCACGAAACGAAACCCTTTATTGTATTGTGATTTTTCTATAGACACACAAGCTCAGAACAATCATATCAAACATTTACAGCACAAACATAAAACCTTTATGTGGTTCATGTAATATAGATATCACACCAATTCAACATATTAAGAAATAATCATAAGATGATTAACTAACCAATATAGAGACCACACATTAAACACATTAATGCATTTACTACAATATTATTCATCCATGAAATTCATACTTTATTGTAGCAACAATAAACCACAAGATTTTAATATGGAAAGTTGAAAATTTTGAATGAAGCAAAAGAAAACATGAAAAACAAAGTGACAAAAACATGAAAAATAAATAGAAGTAAATAAAAATAAATGAAATTAATAGTGAAAAGTTGCAGTTAGTTAAACTTTATTATGCGGAAATGTTGGATTCCAACTTTTTAACCATGGAAATAATTTTGAAAAAAATTATATGCAACAATATTTTTAAGGAAAAAATATCTCAGTAATTTTTAAAAACTGAAAAAAAAAAAAGTGAAATAGTTGTAGAATTTAATTAAAATACATTGACAATATAAACAATTTTTACACTATTAATTAATCATAGCCATTGAATGTTAAAAAAAGTTTAACTTTTATTTTAATCATTTATAAAATAATACAATCAGATAATAATGACGAATGAAATTTTATAAAATTTTTTAGATTACTGGTACATAATAAATAAATATAAATATAAAACCCGTGTGAAAGAAACACTAGTTAGTTATTATATTTCTGTCGTGTCTTCCAAACAATAGAAACATCCAATTTCTCTATCCTGAAATTCTACTCAACCAAACAAAGTTTAAAATATCGTGTGCGGCTGCTCTAGATCGAACCTTAGATCTATATCTCTTTTCAACTCCATTCGTTATCGCCGAAGCTGTGGAACTCAAAATAAGGTTCTTTCTTTTTGCCCTTTCTCTTCTTCATTTTCCATTAATCGTTCATTCCGATGCGATTCGGTTCTCTGTTAGGGTTAAGATTTCTATACTTTCCCCTTAATTTTTCACTCACGCGTCTCGATTTTCTCCCTCCTCGTTGGGTTCCGTTTCTAAATCCGACTTCAATTTTAGCTATATAGTAATGGTTTGTGATCTGCGTATTTTCATTGCGTTTTTTTCGATTATTTTAACAGATGTTTTATTGGTGGTTCAGTGGTTAGTTTTATATATACTCCCATGTCGAAGTATGCTGCTATATTGCATGATCTTGATTTTTCTCTGCAGATAACCTTACATGTTTTCATTAAAATTGATAAAAAAATATATATATACAGGATTTTTTTCCTATTTACATGATATGGTGTCTAATAGTTACAAAGATCCTAATCAAAGAAGGAAACAAATCAGATCATCTTGTATAGATTAAAATAGTCTAAGCAAGATATAAAAATGATGTCATTTATTTCTCAAACTTTCTAACACTAAAGAAAAATGATTCATAAAAGTTATTTCTCTAGATGAATTTCTCTGTGAATCTATATAGTGTCTTATGCCTAGCATACAGTCTTCCTGGTTAGCTTAATTGATCAAAGACTGGTGTGACTTTCTAATGTTTTTCCAAACCTAGACTTAATGTTATATTGGGAATATTATTGGTTTTTGAGAAGTACGTGAATATTATGAACATTGTGACACAGAGACTTGCTATCCAGTTTTGGGTGCTGAGTACGGTGACATGATTGATGCGAGATGGGTTCCTTGTTGAAATTTCATGTTCTATACTGTTGGAATTTTGGTTTTTATATTTTGAAGGGGAGGTGGGGGTTTGGCTAGGCTTAAGGATGATCTTGGATGTGGTTGTCATGTGGACAGGAGGAGGCAGTGGCTGATTGTGTAGGTTGTGGTGGATGTGGTTTTGCTGATCACTTGCGGTAGAAGTTAAGAAAGAGAAAAAAAAAGTGAAAATGAGTTCAGACAGCCGCAGCAGAAGCCGAAGCCGAAGCAGGAGTAGGAGTCGTAGCCCCGGGATCCGTAAGATCCGCTCTGATCGACATTCCTATCGCGATGCCCCTTACAGGAGAGATTCAAGTCGGGGTTTCAGGTTTTTTTTTCAAACTATTTATTTGCTGTCATCTTTTCCTTCTCAAATGTTCTGGTTAGAAAGTTGGAGAAGAATCAAACTGTGCTGTGCTCGAAGAGGCTTTAAATATTTATAGTACTGTTTATAACTCAAGCCAATTTATTTACTTTTTGTGAAATTTTATCTTCACACTCTACCTGCTGCTCTGATATGTTCTTTTTATCAAGCTGTTTGACATTTTGAATGCGTGCTTTTCTCACCGCAGTAACCATAACTTGTTTTTTTTTGTCAGCCGGGACAATTTGTGCAAGAACTGCAAGAGGCCTGGTCACTATGCTAGAGAATGCCCTAATGTTGCAGTTTGCCACAATTGTGGGCTTCCTGGGTATGTTATTCAGTCTCCTTTTTTATTTATTTTACTTAGCATGTTTTTCTTTGATGTATTATGGACTGTGGTTGATTTAGGCAATTCACGTATTATATTTATCTTCTGCTCATTTTATTTTTTTTCCCTTTTTCTGTCATTGATTATTGTTTCTTCTTTAGCTTTATATTGATGTTGAATAATAGCTTTATCTGGTATGCTATTGAAGTTTCCAGTTTTTCAATGTGTTGCCTGAAACGATTGAAAAAGAGCTCATGATTTCCATTGGTTCACTTAACACCAATGTTATCAAATGCAGATTGTAGAAAACTACACTTTGTTTATACTCCGCTACCCAACAGTGCTACAGCGTTGCTATTTCACAGTATTTTGTTCTAAATATTGTACATTGTACATAAGCGATTTGCTTAAATTCCGCCATTTGACAACACTGCTTAGTATATAATTGCACCTCTACAGTCTTCATCTGCATCTACTTTCAGTTGTCACATCTATCTGAACTGATACTGAGATTATATCATGCCATTTTATTTTTGATTTTATGATGAAGGCCATTTTCCTTATTGAATCTGATGGAAAATATTAATTTCTTGTTTGACTAAAATGTAATGGAAAATATTTATGTGACTGATGTAATCATGTCTAAGCCTCTTTATACCATTTTCTCTTTCATGGTCATTCTACAGTTTCAGTCTTTGCTCTAGGATAAATTTAAATTTGAAATATATGTTTGACATCCAAATTTGAAGTAAAAAAATGCTACTTGATTTCTTTTAGAAGTCCGCAATGTTAAATTGTTAACTATCTGACATTTATAACAAGTGTCATGGTTTGGTTGGCTAGTTTTTCTTATTTTTTCCCCCTCTATGCTTAATCAGGCACATTGCTTCTGAATGCTCCACAAAATCAGTGTGCTGGAATTGCAAAGAACCGGGCCACATGGCCAGCAGTTGTCCAAATGAGGGCATTTGCCACACCTGTGGTAAAACTGGCCACCGTGCTAGGGAGTGCTCAGCTCCAGCAATGCCTCCAGGGGACTTAAGGTTGTGCCATAACTGTTATAAGCAGGGCCACATTGCTGTTGAATGCACGAATGAGAAGGCTTGCAATAACTGTAGGAAAACAGGGCACTTGGCACGTGATTGTCCAAATGACCCAATTTGCAATGTCTGCAATGTTTCTGGACATGTGGCCAGACAATGTCCAAAATCAAACATCATTGGAGATCACAGTGGCAGAGGCAGCTTCCGTGGTGCTGGTGGAGCAGGTGGTGGTGGTTACCGTGATGTCGTGTGCAGGAACTGTCAACAGTTGGGTCATATGAGCCGTGACTGCATGGGCCCCTTGATGATTTGTCACAATTGTGGAGGCCGTGGTCACTTGGCATATGAGTGTCCTTCAGGCCGCTTTATGGATCGCTACCCTAGTGATCGCTACGCAAGTGATCGCTACCCTAGTAGGAGATACTAGTGGATTACAGGTCATGGATTGTGGTTATAACTTATATTGTTGTTTTTCTATGATTATCTGTTTGTAGGACTGATTGTTGAATATTGGTAGTGTATGGTGTTTGCTCTTACACTGAACTCGGTAGAGTCACGACAATGATCATGATACTAATATATCGGCTATAAGTGCTTATGAATGTGCTTGAGCTAGGAATAAGATTTTGCTGCTTGTAAGAGGCATGATTTTTTTTTTATGCATCATCCCGCCACCTTAATAAGCTACTGTATTGAAGTTTATTATGTGTTATGTTGCATAAATTATTATATTATATTATATTTATACCTAGAGTCCGTGAATGTGACAGTAGAGCATTACTAATTTTAGTATATTTTCAACTGTTTTTATCATTAAAAAACCCAATTTTTTATGATATGTATATTATAAAAAAATGGCATTTTTTGGTGTGTGTGCAGATTTTGGTTTTTCTTCAATAGATTTGCATTTTTTACATGGATTTTGAATATGGACACCCATGATAATATAACATTGCTTCCTCATTTCAAGATACACTAAGTTTTATGATATGTATATCATAAAAAAATGTTTTTTCTTTTATGATGTTAGCACTGCAATCATTGAAGTAGTTGAGCAAGTGTAAAGTGGGGTAGTCTTTAAGTTAGGACATACTAAGTTTTCCTCCCTATCACTATAATTTTCAAGAATTTTGAAGTGTATATAAATTAATTGGATCCACTAAATATCACTATAATTTTGAGGAATTTTGAAGTGTATATAAATTAATTGGATCCACTAAATATCACAAATGATTTTATATTCTCAAAATATTATGATTTGACAAAATGGTGAGTATAAAATCGAGTTTCTTGACATGTGATATATTCCTTACTATTATATTAGGGGCTTTCATCTCATAAAATAGGGAATTTTAATGCTAATGCATTGTATCACGTGAAAATATTAAAATGTTCTAAGATTTTAGAGATGTATCTTCGAATGCATCTAATACGCACATAACATAGGTCATTTTTAGTGATGTCTTGGAAGTTTTTTTTTTAAATTTGGAAATGCATCTTTGGAATCAGTCCGTAGATACATTTCTGGAACATATGCCTATTATTATTAGAGATGGAAACCAAAAACTTTGTATTTTGACAAAATAAATTACCATTAAATCACCATTCAAAACATTAAATCAGTATTTCACAAATGATTTCAACATAAAATGCAACATTACACTTCAATACCTAGGTTGACGTTTCAATAACCATGAAGGACAATCTCTAGAAGTTGTATGATTGTAATTAGAAGTTGATTATGCAGTCTGAACTGAGAACAAACAAGACATTCAAGGTGAATGTTGCAACATCAAACACTCAATGCCTTAGTGCAAGAAGTGCTTAAAGGGAAAGTGAGTTATGACACAAGAGATTGGGGCATCTAAACTACAAAGCTTAAGGCACCTGAGTTCAAAGAATATGGTACATGGAATTCCAAAAATTGCGGCAGCAGTGAAATTAAATGATATATGCATGAGAGGCAAACTACCAATATTGTCATTCGCATCATAATGCCTCCAAGAGAAACTTATGATTTGGGTGTGGTGCATTCTGATGTATGTGGGTCATTTGAGGTACCTTCAATAGGAGGAATCAAGTATTTTATGTCATTTGTGGATAAGTTCACAAGAATGACATAGGCAGCACTCGTAAAATTTAAACATGAGGTGTTTGTTGAGTTCCAAAAATTCAAAGTGAAGGTTGAAAATCAAAGTGGACAAAGGTTGAAGATCCTCAAAACTGATGGTGGAGGTGAGTTCAATTCAACAAAGTTCAAGAAGTTTTATGAGGAAGATGGTATTAAGCATGAGGTATACACACCACATCCTAATGGTCTTGTTGAAAGGAGAAATATAACTCTTTTTGACATGACAAGAAGCATACTAAAAGAGAAGAGTCTACCTCACACATTGTGGGGTGAAGCAATTTCCATGTCAGCATATGTACTCAACATATGTCCAACAAAAAATTAAAGAAAGTAGTTCCTATTGAGAAATGGATTGGAAGAAAGCGAAGTGTGATCCATTTCAAGGTGTTTGGTTATGTATGTTACAAACATATTCTAGATGCTAATAAAAGGAAAATGGATAACAAAAATAGAACCATGTTTTTTATAGGTTACCACAGTACATGTGCATATAAGCTTTATTGCCCAATCATAGTGAATGAATCAGAAACATGGGATTAAAGCAAGTCTCAATACAACTCCAATGAAGGTGTTTGGTTATGTATGTTTCAAACATATTCCTTGAGGTTACCATGTAAGAGGGCATTGTTGACATCTAATTGATACAGGTGTCAACCCTTGATGGATGCCAATGCAAGAAGAACTCTAACCGTGAATAATTTTTCTACATGAGAAAATGTGTCAAAGAAATCCAAGCCTTCTACTTGACTGTATCCTTTGGCAACCAATCGTGCCTTGTACCCATCTGCTTTATGTTTGATATTGTAAACCCATCTGCTCCCAATAGGTTTGACATTGGGTGATAAGTCTACTAGTATCCAAGTACCATTGGCGGCTAAAGCTTCTAACTCTGAATTCATAGCCTTCAACCAATTATCATCCTTACAAGCTTCCTAATAAGTTTTTGGCTCATGGTCAAGGTTAACAGAATAACTGAAATTTTCATGACTAGGAGACAAAAATTTAAAAGAATGAAAGAAGGAAATGAGATAAGGGATACCTGAAAATGATGACATTAGTTGATTGCTTGAAGAACTACATACATAATCCTTAAGGTGGGCTGAAGGATTTCTATTTCTGGTAGGTCTATGTGAACTGTCAGGGTTACTGTTTGTGTTAGGTTCATTATTGTTGGTGTCAGGCTCATCGTTATTGGTGTTATGCTCATCAGGGATGTGTGGATTGTGAAGGTCATGGTTGGCATAAGAGCCGGTGGATATGAGTGAGTTATCATGGTCAGGTGTGGTGATATCTTGTTCTTCATAAATTAAGGTGTGATGTCATTTTGTGAATGGTTGTGATTAGTAGGTGAGGTTTCATTGGATGTGTTTGTAGAGTTGGATCCTAAGTGATATTTCCAATTGGGTGCATAAGGGAAAATGTGTTCATAATGAACGACATTCCTAGATATGAATATGTCATGATTATTGATGTATAAGAGAATCACCCTCATTGACACCTTGCTTAAAGCCTAAGAAAATACATATTCTTCCTCTACTTTCAAGCTTAGTTCTATGTGACTGTAAGGTAGAATCATATGTCAAAGTGGTAAAAAATTTCAATGTGTGAATGTCAGGCTCTTCTCTGAATAACATAAAATAAGGTGACTTATTTTTCAGAATTGGGCTAAGCACCCTATTCATGATATATACGACATGATTAACTATATAAGATCAAAATGATTTGGTTGAAAAATTAAGGCTTTAAAAATGTTAAGTATGTGTTGATGCTTCCTTTCCACCCTACCATTTTGTTGAAGGGATTCAACACAACTGGTTTGGTGAGAAATTCCTTTGGAACCAAAGAATTGAGGCATGATAAATTCAGGATCATTATCACTTTTAATGGTCTTGATGTAAGAATTATGTTGTATAGTCATTTTGATAAAATCAATCACATTTTGTCTGGCTTCAGACTTGTGTTTCATGAGTATGATCCATGTATATCGATTGAAATCATCAACAACACTTAAGAAATAAGAATGGTCATGTTTAGACTTAATGGCTATAGGACCCCAAATATCAAAGTGAACAATATCAAAAGACTTCTTAGATTTATTAAAACTTGAATGATAAGGTGATCTGTTATGTTTGGCAAAATGACAAACATCACAAGTAAAATTCTTATTAACAACAATAAAATGTAATATAGAATGAAGGGTTTGCATCTTAGTGGGGGATAGATGTCCTAATCGAAAATGCCATAGGGCATGCTCAGGTATACAATAACTAGATGGCTGATATGTGGCATAAGTGTCATGGTCTTTGTTCTTGAAAATTAAGTAATACAATCCTTCAAAGCTTTCACTCGAGCCAATCATCTTCATTGTGATAGGATCCTGAATGAAACAATGATTGTGAGTGAAACTGACTTTTGACTTAGACTGTTGACAGAATTTGGAAATAGAAATTAGATTAACAGAAAATTCAGGTATATATAAACATTAGATATGGTGAAATCATGTGAAAACTTAACAATTCCTATATTTTTAGCTAAAGCATATTGACCATTTGGAAGTCACACATTTATAGGTGGAATATCAACATATGAAGAGAAATAAGAACTTAATGAACAAATCTGGTCACTAGCTCCTGAATCTATGATCCAAGTTTCTAGTGAACATCCTTTGTAAGCAAAAGAAAAGGTTTTACCTTTATCATTCAAAGATGGATGACCCATGAACGGGGAAGAGCCAACTTGGTCAGAAGCTGCAGGGATGATACCTTGATTGGTAACTTCTCATATTGATCTTGAGTAATAGTAGAAGAGCCATTTTTAACTAGAGATGTGTGAACATCCACCTCATTCTCATCATCATTTGTAGCAGTGTTGTTTATGATAGGTCATTTTCCAAAATGTGGAGGAAAACATGTTTTCGATAACAAACTTCAATTGTGTGACCATTTTTACCACAATGAGTATAGATTTTGGACTTAGAAGTGTTGGATTGTGCTGCAAAATTGCTAAGTTTTAAATTGGATTTCTTGTATCTAACGACATTGATTAAAGCTTGAGAGTCTTCAACTGGTGCAGAGCCATGTTGCCTTTCATGTTTAAGAACCATAGAAAAAATCCTATTCATTTTAGGTAGGGGATCCATGAGCAAGATCCGAGTCTTCACTATTACAAAATTCTCATTTAATTTAGTAAGGAATTGAATGACATTGAGCATCTCATGATTCTTCCTGACTTTTCTCATGGTATCGCAAGAACATCAATTTATACACGTGCAAGTTGGAATTAGCATGTAAATCTCCAACTCTTCCCAAAGAACTTTCAAATTGGAATAGAATTTAGTAACAAACTTTAAATCTTGCTCAAGAGCATAAACTTCTTGCTGCAATTCTGTAATATAAACTAAATCACCTTGAGAAAATATCTCTTTGAGATCGTTCCACACATCAATGGCGTTTTCCATGACGCAATCAATTAAGCTATTGATTCAAAAACTAAATTAAGTAACCAAGAATGAACAAACATGTTGCACCTGTTCCATGCACAGAAGGAAGGATCAAAATCAAAGGTTGAGACTTGAATTGAGCCATCAATAAAATCGAGCTTCAACTTTTCACCAAGAGCTCCTCGTATGGATCTCGCCCAAGAATGATAGTTGGAGCCTTCAAGAATGAGTGTAACTTTGACAGATGAATGTACATCACTAAGATGAACGTAATAAGGACTATTAGAGTCAGAAGTTGGTTCCGGTGTCATAACTTATGGTGGAGCCATAACGGAAAATCAGAAGAAAAGAAAACAAAGGAATAAAAAAAAATAATGGAAAAGGTAAATCGATGAAGACGTGTAATACCATGTTAAGAATCTAAAATCTCTATGAATGAAGCTAAAACAAACATGAAATGTGAGAAAAACTTTATAAATAGAAAATGAAGAAAAAAAAGAAGACAATAGAATAAAACAAGAATACAAATATATATTGTGGATCAACCTATAACTATAATAAGAGTTACCTCTGAGTATTTATTAACAACCCTAACAATTTTCTATATCCGAATACAATTATAATAAACTTATGAAAAAAACAAGTGTCTATCACAAGCTATGTACTATTATTAATATTGATCTATTTCAACAAAGAGAAGCATATTTTGTCAAAGAAAAAGATTTAGTAATTAAATATTATATTTATCTTTTAGATAGAAGTATCAAAATATGATACTACTACTTCACCAATAAAAGACTATTCTGGCAACTTTGACCTCTGTATCAGAAAAATGGCAGAATCGGTTGCTCCGATGGAGGTAGAGAAAACCGGTAGTAAATCAGTGCAAGAGCTCTCACTGAGTTCTGAAAATCTTCCAAATAGCTATATCCACGATCAAGGCGGTGTTGGATTTCGTCATGCTCTTCATCCTTCCGAATCAAATATTCATATTCCAGTCGTTGACATTCTCAACCTCACATCTCCATCTTCATCACAGCAAGAGCTTCAAAAACTCCATTACGCACTCTCTTCTTGGGGCTTCTTTCAGGTTTCCTTCTCAATATTTATTTCTAACTCCAATTTTCACTCTCGATTTATTGTTTTTTCTATCAACGATTTAGGTTATAAACCATGGGATGACGAGTTTGTTTCTCGACAAAGTGCGGCAAGTTTCAAAGCAGTTTTTTGAACTTCCAAAGGAAGAGAAGCTGAAATGTGTTAGGGAACCAAATGGTTTGGAAGGTTATGGAAATGATGTGATATTTTCGGAAAAGCAAAGGCTTGATTGGACTGATAGAGTTTATCTCAAAGTACATCCTGAAGATCAGAGAAATTTCAATGTTTGGCCCCAAAAACCTAATGATTTTAGGTATAAATTCTCAATAACAATGAATATTCTATTTACATTATAGCCCCATCAAAAGATTTTGATATTTATAATTTTGAAACATCCTATTGTTAGGATAGGAATAAGAAATAGAGTTAAAATGCCATGGAGTGTCGTTTCACGGGGCGGATATGTAGGATTAACACTCTAGTACTCAAGTCAATGAATAAGTGATGAGTAATTTGAGTGTGAGAGTGAAAAGAATACTTAGAACTGGCGCGCGTGAAGAGCTTATATAATGTGAGCGGTTAAAATTGGTTTTGTCTATTATGACGCCCCGTGCAGATCACTGTCTGATTATATTCAATGGTGGGAAGTTGACAGAAGGTCAGAATCACATGTTCCTTGCTTGGAGGTCTCATATGTTTTTTACGTCTTTCCGTGTGGCGCTTGTAATTGGGCCCTCGTATGTGGGCCTTGAGTGCGGCCCAAAACAAGTTGTTTGTCAAAGTCCTCCCATATAGTCTCATGTTAAAAGTGGTTATGCTAGTAGATAAACTTAAATAAGTCAATACAAATTGATCTTAGTATTATTATTTGTGGAAAAGGAACAACCGATTTCTATCATTGATTATAAGGCCGGACTCGATCATTTGAAAGAAGGTTGTAAACCATAACAAGGACACAAATATTTGCACCATTAATATGTTTCAAGTCAAAGGATTTCTCTATGCAGGAGTATTGTGTTACAGTATAGTGAAAATTTAAGGCAGTTAAATGAAGTAATTTTAAAGGCAATGGCAAAGTCACTGAACTTAGAAGAGGACTGCTTCCTAAAAGAACGTGGAGATAGAGATTCAATGTTTATAAGATTAAATTACTACCCTCCATGTTCTATACCCGATCATGTTCTGGGCCTGAAGCCACATGCGGATGGATCATCTATAACTTTCGTGCTGCAAGATAAAGAAGTTGAAGGCCTTCAAGTCCTCAAAGATAATCAGTGGTTTAAAGTTCCAATCATACCCGATGCTCTCGTCATTAATGTTGGTGATCAAATAGAGGTACGCAACAACTACTATCTCGCACTTATGTTTTGGTCGGAACTTGTTATTGAATTCTTCTCGAGATACGTAAAACTGATAGGATTGACGCGCCTGTTGAACGCAGATAATGAGCAATGGAATTTTCCAGAGTCCGGTACATAGGGTGGTGATAAATGCAGAAAGGGAAAGGCTAACAGTAGCAATGTTCTGCATTCCAGATTCAGAAAAAGAGATAAAACCAGTTGAGAAACTAGTGAATGAGTCAAGGCCAATATTATACAGAGCAGTGAAAGATTATGTTGGTATATATTTCCAGTATTATCAGCAGGGGAAAAGGCCAATTGAAGCTTCCAAAATTTAACCATTTATCAAGTACTAGTATAATAGTACTTGGGAATGAAAATGAAATAAATGCGTGTTGTAAAAATTCTCAACTGTTACTGCTACTTTATATTAAAATAAATGTTGATTTGTATCATAGTTTAATTAAATGTGGCCTACAATTAGCGCATGTATAATTCTACGGTGAAAATTGACTTTTTGGTAATTTGATTTTGATTAAATGTTTTTTTGGTAAATTGATTTTGATTAAATGTGAATTGAAGGTAATGTGATTTATTTTTGGATAATTTTTTTGCAAAAGTGAGTCGAATGATAAATTTTATGGAAGTTATATTAAATCTCAAAAGTTATAAATTTTAACTCGATTAATTTTAATAAATATATTCTTAAAAAAGAATTTAGAACACATAATATGTCAATCAAAATTAATTTCAGGCATTTAGAATCAATTCAAGTAGCTTCAAACACATGAAATCAAATATATACTTAGGGTCAATTTTACTTTTTCACAATTGTAGTATAGTTTAACTTCCTTACAGACAAATCAGATGATGTTTCAATGGACAAAAGTATAACTCGCCAAATTAGAGAAAGCAACATTAGGCTCACAAGAAGGAAAAAAACTTTAAGAAAACTATCTTACAAGTTGAATTGAAAGAAAAAAAAAAAGAAATTTAGAAGAAGAAAATAGTACAAAAGCATATTGTCAACAAAAATTCTAATATTTAAAATTATCCGAACTAAAATGGTCATAAGTATCAAACTTTAAGTACATTGTCTAATAACATTGTCAAAGAAATAGCATAAATAAAAGTCAAAAAATTATTAATTAGTTGGTGGATTTATTTGTTTTGTTTGAATGTATTTTTTATTTCTATTTTGATGATTTTTAGTTTTAATTAAATTTTTTTTTTGTTTTCTCAATTTTACTTTCTTTAAGATTTTGTTAGTTCTATGCAGTTTTACATATGTGATAATATTGATTAGCACAAAAAAAATAGTTTTAATGAAGTGACAATTATTATTAAAATACTTTTTTATTTAATAAATTAAGACAAATTTTAAAAGAAAAAAAATTATTTTTTTATATTTTTTATTTAATAAAATAATTAATTTAATTAAGTTTTTCTATAAATATATTTTTAAAAAGTTTAAAACAAACTTTAAAAGAATTTTTCTGGGCTTGAGACTCATTTCTTTGAAGTATCTCTTTAGCCATTGTGTTTGTTTAAACTATATAAATACTTAGAGAATTTAATTTTTCACCCTTATACTTTATCACAAACCCTTGATAAAATCTTTAAAATGTCTTTAGAATTCAAAGATTCATCTTTGAATGCACCAATTTTCTACAAAATTGAACGTAAACGAGTGATTCACTCCTATTATACTTAATTTCGGAGATGGATCTCCAGATACACCATATATTTTTATGAAAATGTTGTTTTTGGATATGCATATTTGTAAAGTGCCATGTTGTATTTTTTTTTTTAATTTAGAAAAAAAAACTCTTTTTGGTTCTTTAATAATACATCGGGGTCCATTTTGGTCTCTCAATTTTAAAAAATTCCAAATTGATCCTTTAATTGTTCAAATAGTGTCATAGAAGTCATTTCCGTCCATTTGCCTTAAACGGACATTTGTTTTAGTATGCGTGGCAGTTGACGTGGATTTGCTATTTCATATTCTTCGTTACATAATCTCTCTCTCTCTCTCTCTCTCTCTCTCTTGCTAGGGTTTTTCCCATTTTGATTTAGGGTTCCTCAATTTGCAGAGGTCTACACTAAAATTGGTCGTGAAAATTGAAATTATCATCATCAATGAATTATGGGCGATGGTCAAACGAATCTAATTTGAAGAGCTCTGGTAGTTTGGATTCCAATGTATACACATGCTCAAATGTCCGATGGAAACCCATATGTCGCTGTGAAGACATGGTTATTCTTCACAGGGCCTCAACTGTTACGAACTTTGGCATACAATTTTGGGGATGTCGATATTATAAGATAAGAACGAATTTGAATATTTTCTTCTTCGCCAATTCTTATGATATATACCATTTGCCAACTATACAGGGTGTAACACAAGCTAGTTGTGGATATTTTCATTAGTTCTATGAAGATGTGGTAGATGACAAAGACCAATTTATGAAGAAGGAAAGTAGTAGGTTGGAGAAGCTAAAAAACAAACTTGATGCAACAAAAATGGAGGTGGAGTATCTTAGGGATACAAATGAGGGACAAATGCTACAATTGAGGGAATTAATAATTCAAATGAAGAGGGTGGTGAAATGGGAATTTTTTTTGAAGAGCATGTTTTGTATTGTTTTATATGTGGTGGTATTTAGAATGTTGTAACAAGTGAATATGATTAAAATAGTTTGAATTTGTTTGTATCAGTTTGAATGGCATAATGTTTGTGTCAATTAATGTTTTTCAAGGTGTATCAGTGGCATACCCTCATTTTTACCCTAATATTTTTATAACATCCATTCATCATATCATTTCATTAGCATATCATATGATCTTTGGTTTCAAAGCAGGGTGATTCATAAGTTTGATTACTTCCTCTGTTTGCTTTCCTAAAGGTTCTCAAAGGTCATTTGTGTGTCCCTTTGTCCTGATGCTTTGGTCTTATGTTTGTTGCCTTTGTAGTTAGGGTTTGTTGCATCCTTATTGCATCATTGTGTATTATTCATTTTATCTAAATCATATTGCATTCAAAAGTACAAAAATATGTTGCATTTGCTTTCATTTATTTTTTTTCCAAACTATAGGGTTTTGCAAAGTTGAATCATGGATTGTTCAAGACCATAAGCTAAACGTGTGAGATTGATTCAATAATCATTCACTCATGGATAAATTCAAGCTAGTTTAACCTAATTGTGGTCTAACACAAGATTGTTGCTTCAGTTATAAGTCATTACAAGTTATGGATCAATTTGGAAAACAAATTGTGTCAAGATCAAGTGTGTTGGCTCATTTGGTTTTGGTTGACATCGTGTGGTCAAAGTTTGATTCAAATGAGCATTTAGTTCAAGTTTGTTTCAAAGCATCATTCAAGTTCAATTTGGTTCAAGGTTTAACAACTTCAAGCATTGTCCAAGAAATAATCCAAGATGTAAATAGCATACAAAGTTAAGGCCCAAACTACAAATTACATTCAAGTCAATTCAATATAAGGCAATGAAGATTCAATCCAAAAATAAGTCACAATACAAGCCTGTTGCTACGCAAAAAATCACAGAGTCGCTATCAAACTTTATTTATCCCAAAAGGGAAGGGAAAATATTGAGAAAACCCCAAGAAAAAGGATAAGATGGTCTCGCGATCAAAAGAATGGGTTCGGAAGCCGGTTATGCAAAGGAAAGGTATTAGCACCCCTCACATCCATCGTACTCGGTGGGAACCATTTGTTTGTCTCATGTCTAAGGATGTTGATAAAGAATAATTCTTACTAAAAATGCTTTAAAAAGGGAAAGAAAAGAGTTTAGAAAGAAAGTGCTCGCAAAGTATTGGGGCCCCCGTGCCTACGTACCTTCATTGACCAATGAAGAATCAAAGCGTTCGTAGTTCGTGTGACTATGGTGAAAAAGGGAAGATTGCTCTCCAAGGATTGAAGCCTTTGTGCCTACGTATTTTCAACAGGTATGAGAAATCAGAGCGTTCGTAGTTCGTGGGACTACGGGTGAGAAAAGGTCACGATCGTACTGGGCGAGAGAAAAGGCTTGGTTAGTTGTAAGTGAGCTCTCTAAGGATATGGATCCTTGTGCCTACGTATCCTCATTAGGGAATGAAGAATCAGAGCATCCGTAATTCACGAAACCACGTGTTGGTTGCTTTTAATATACAACATTAACGTTCAGACCCCAGTAATAGGTTTTGCCGCTCGCACGCAAAGAGACTTATGTTTTAGCCTGTTATGCGGTAGGATGGAAATAACATGCCCTTTTTGAAAAGGCATAGGTTTTCGCCATCGAGGTAAGATGTCACATTTGATTTGTGATGATTGATTTTAGGGGTGAAAAAAGTCCTCGGATAGGAACCCCTGTGGGTAGTACCCAATTCTTTATCTCAAAAGATTTGCTTTGAAAATAGTGTGGCGAATATATTCACGTCTTTGTATTGAAATACGAGTATCGAGATCACACACTCTAAAGTGAGCATCCTAATACTCGGAGATGAAGAAGTCTTCACTCAATCTTCTCTCTTTAGTTCAATACAAGGATGACCTTATTCATTTTATTAAAGAGATATTTTACTTTGGATGGTAAGTGTTTTAAGAAAATGAACCCTAAAGGTAGTGTCAAACACTCAGGATAGGACAAGACCTTTGCCTAACCACTCCACAACTATCCAAGTTTATTTAGAAAAAGGTTTACGAAAATGCACTTGGCACAAGACCAATGTTTTTTCTTAAGAAGAGAAGATGATGAAAGTAAGTGAGATGAGAGGGTGAATGCTAACATAATGTGATCATGCAAGATGGACCTAAAGCTGAGGATGAGGGGAGATTCTACCCTAAAACTATCATGACTGGATTGAGAATCTAAAATTTATCCTACTTCAATCTTAATCAGAAATTAAGTTGAACTAGAAGATCCTAAGGGAACATACGAATTCACAAGTAATCAAATAATCGAGATATAGTTCCAACATCAAGATGAAACAACGAGAAAAAACATGGAAACAATTAATCATAAAATAGAATCAAATGAAAAGAGAAATGCTATGACATGATAAAAGATGCATGAGTTAGGTGAATGATGATGATCACAGGATGATGAACAACAACAAAGTCAAGATAAGAATCAAAGTCATAAGATCAAGCAAAAGGAATCTAAGTTACAAACTCACAAAGTTATAAGTTAAATCGATTAATAAAAAAAATCTAAGTAATCCTAAATAATTAAATTCTAAACGTAAATAAAAAATTAGAAGGATTAATTCACAAAATCAATTAAGAAAATATTTTTGAGATTGTTTATTTAATTAAAAAAACAAGCAAATTAATTAGTCT